CTTACTATGGAAGAAGCACTCGGTGTGTTTGCCCAGAGAGTTAGCCATGAAAACGCGGGCGTAGTTCATCAAGCTTTGACTGAACTTGCCCCATACCTGAGGGATAACCAGAGTGCTTTGTACACCTCTGCTGTGAGTCAAAGGCCAGATAATGCGATTACAACTATATTGAGGTCACTTCTCGATTGTGCTTGTAAATACAGCGGGTCACAAATGGACATCGCCCGGCTGTGCGTTCAATGCATTGGGCTCATTGGCTGCTTGGATTCCAATCAGATTGAAACTGTTCGAGAGCAGCGATCTATTGTTGTATTGAACAATTTCGTGGCGCCGGAGGAGATGACTGACTTTGGGTTGTTCATGCTTGAGGAGGTCTTAGTTCCCTCATTTTTATCTGCGACTGATACCAAACTCCAAGGGTTCCTTTCCTATGCAATGCAGGAGTTGCTCGACAAATGTGAGATCAAAGCAGCTTGTGCCATGAACGAAACAGGCATGCTTGGTGGCAACGACATTTACAGGAAGTGGATCGCCATTCCAGATCACGCTCGAGAGGTGATGACCCCTTTCTTATCCTCCAGGTATATGGTTGCTCCAATGCCTCCAGTAACTGTGGAGTACCCGATCTTCCATCCAGGCAAACCTTACGGCAATTGGCTGCGGTCCTTTGTTATCGACATGTTAAGGGAGGGACAGCATCCTCATGCTGACTTGCTATTTGAACCTCTTATGCGCGTGATCCGTGTGAAAGATCTGTCGACTGCCGAATTTCTCCTACCCTACCTAGTAATACACATTTTACTTGGTGCACGGAGCAGTGAGAATGAAAAGAATCGAATAGTGAATGAGCTTTTAGGGGTTTTGAGTCACCAGCCTGCTGATGATGCATCCTACGTGGAACGGGAGGAAATGAAGCGATACTGTCATGTAAGTGCGCCCCAAGCTCAGTGCTCGGTTCTGTAGCTAAATTGTGACAAAGGCCGTATTTCGTTGCCTAGATTACGCCATGAGATGGATCCAAGAAAAACGTGCAGCCGGAAGACTTTCTGCAGAAGGCAAAGAGAGTGTCGCACGAATACAAGGTGTACTTGATCAAATACCAGCAGAACTCATCTCACAGCGAGCCACTGATTGCAACGAGTACTCTCGTGCTCTCTTTCATCTTGAACAGCATGCTCAGAAAATGGAGCAGCAGAAACGGGAGCCAGGGGACCGAAGCAGACTGCTAGAAAAACTCCAGAATATATACGCTAATATTGACGAACCAGATGGCTTGGAAGGTATCTCCTCACAGCTTCATGCACTCGACATAAATCAACAAATCCTGAGCCACAAAAAGGCCGGCCGATGGGCATCGGCTCAAACGTGGTATGAAATGCAGCTTGCTGAGAATCCTCGAAACACCGAGGTTCAACTGGATCTTCTCAATTGCCTAAAGCAAGCCGGGCAACATGGTTTGTTGGCCTTACCCACAGCGCTATCAAGACACTTGCTAATTGTTCACTAGATGTGCTCCTGAATCACATTGAGGGTATGCAGGCAGACCCTTCAGCTGAGAACAAAATCCTGCCATTTGCTGTAGAAGCTGCCTGGGTTACCGGCCGATGGGAAAGCCTGGCCAAGTTTACAGGGCGATTCCAGGAAGATGTCGCTCAAGATTTTAACATGTCTGTCGCCTGTTTGTTTGATTCTTTATATCGCCGGGCGGGTCCCGATTCATTCGACAAGGCTATTCAGAGCATGCAGGACAAGATAGCCTCATCAATGACTGCGTCAGCCACAGCCTCGTTGAATGCCGCACATGAGATTTTGTTGAAGTGTCACGTTCTGACAGATTTGGACGTAATTATCAATACCAAATCTGGCAACGAAGCTGAACGGCGGAGAACTCTGGGGTTGTTGGATGGTCGACTAGAAGTCATTGGGGGAAGGTTCAGTGATAAGCAATACCTTCTTGGTATTAGACGTGCTGCTATGGAGCTGTCAAGGTATGGGCAAGATTGCATCGCGAGCTTCAATGTACTTTATTCTAACAGCAAACTTGGCAGACCAACTTTTGCGGATCTGGACATCTCCGGTCTCTGGCTATCCAGTGCTAGGCTGGCACGAAAAACGAACTCTTTACATCAGTCATTCAATGCTGTGCTACATGCCTACCGACTAGGCGATGATTCGGCGACGATCGAAAATGCCAAGCTGTTGTGGAGGGACAATCATCATCGCAAAGCCATTCAAATGCTCCAAGGCGCCATCGAACGCAACAAATTCATGACTCAGACGGGCCCATCGACGAGCGCTGGAACAGCTGGAACCTCGAGGCTCAACCCCCAACAAAAGTTGCTGACTGCTCGAGCACAGTTACTCCTCGCCAAGTGGCTGGATGCCGCTGGGCAATCTCATGCTGTCGCACTGCGAGAAAAGTACCAACAACCCCCTAAGACGTACTCGACTTGGGAAAAAGGCCACTACTACCTGGGCCGACACTACAAAAAAATACTTGAGGCGGAACAACCTCTCAAAGTCGAAGACCAGAGTGATAACTATGTCACTGGAGAAATTGCCAGACTTGTCATTGAAAATTACGTCCGGTCTCTCAACTCAGGAACCAAATATATTTACCAAACTCTCCCAAGAATATTGACGTTGTGGTTGGATGTTGGTGCACAGGTCGACAAGGCACCAGACGGCAAGGTTTCACTTTCCCGAGAGCTACATAAACGACGGGTCGAACAGCTTAACATGCTGCATGCCTTTCTCGACAAGTATATTTATCGCTTGCCAGCGTATATTTTCTACACGGCTCTGCCACAAATTGTGGCTCGAATCGCTCACCCAAACACTGCAGTTTTCGAGCGGCTCAGTCACATCATCACCAAAGTTGTCGAGGCGCATCCAAGACAAGCCCTGTGGAGTCTTATTGGCATCATGACTACAAAGCAGGCCTCCGAGAGAAAGGTTCGAGGCGCACAAATCCTGCAAGCTCTGAGAGGAATTCAAAGGAAGGTGGATGGCACATCTCACGATGTGAAATACCTCATCAGGACCGGTGAGAAGCTCGCAGAGCAACTTCTCGTAGCCTGTCAGAACGGTGACTTTCACAGCAACAAAACGGTTAAAGCTAGTCTTTCGCGAGATCTTCGCTTCCAGCACAAGTGCACACCCTGTCCACTGGTGGTCCCTGTAGAAAGTTCACTGACAGCAACATTGCCTGCGGTTTCCGAACACGTGAAGAAACACAATGCCTTTTCTCGGGATGCCGTCACGATCGATTGCTTCCTGGATGACGTCCTCGTTCTGAGCTCCCTTGCAAAACCGAGACGTCTGACTGCCAGGGGTTCCGATGGCAAGAGCTACATGTTGTTGATCAAACCCAAAGATGATCTTCGAACTGACCAGCGTCTTATGGAGTTTAACGGCATCATCAATCGGTCATTGAAACGAGATGCGGAATCCAGCAGGCGACAGCTGTATATTCGAACGTATGCTGTTGTTCCGTTAAACGAGGAGTGTGGCATTATTGAGTGGGTTCCGGGGATCAAGACGATGAGAGATATTCTGTTGAACTTGTACGCGTCGCAGAAAATTCACCCCGACTATGCGGCACTGAGACAATTGATGGAGGAGGCATCAGCATCTGAGAGCAAAATCCGAATCTTCACCGACGATGTATTGGGACGATTCCCGCCCCTGTTGCCGTTGTGGTTTATTCAGCAGTTCCCCAATCCGTCGGCGTGGTTTGCTGCTCGACTCAGATACACCCGGTCATGTGCCGTCATGTCCATGGTTGGCACAATTCTAGGTTTAGGCGACCGGCATGGTGAAAACGTCAACTTGGAGGAAGGCAACGGCGGGATATTCCACGTGGACTTTAATTGCTTGTTCGACAAAGGCTTGACGTTTGCCAAGCCGGAACGGGTCCCGTTTCGCCTTACACACAATATGGTCGCGGCAATGGGTATATACGGATACGAAGGGCCATTTAGAAAATCGTCGGAGCTCACACTGAGTATTCTGCGGCAACAGGAGGAAACGCTGATGACAATTCTGGAGGCGTTCATATACGACCCAACACTAGATCTACAAAAGGAAAAGAAACCGTCAAGGAGAGGGGATGCAAGTGTGAGGCTGCAGCCACAAAGCGTGGTGGACAGCATCAAGAGGAAAGTCAGAGGGCTGTTGCCGAATGAGAGCATTCCGTTGAGCGTGGAAGGTCAAGTGGAAGAACTCATCAAGCAGGCTGTTGATCCAAGGAACCTGACAGCCATGTATATTGGATGGTGTCCATTTTTGTAGTTGCACTGGGATCATTTCAGGGCGAAGTGGGCATAGATTGGCGTTTTACGTCGAGATTAAAAGGGACAATGTGCGAACATGAGAAATGACCTGTCAACTGGGGTGATTGTGAGTTCTGCGAAATGCATTGGTTCGACTATTGATGATGACATCGAACATTGTCAAGCGTTGTGCTCGGCGACTGGCGGTGGAGATTTGATGTTGCATCTGGAGCACGGCGGCTGCGCAGGTCCGCAGGTCCGCAGGTTCTGCACACGGTTTGGGCAACGCGACAACACGCGACTGACTGGGCAAGCCAAGGCAAGTGCCGAGCAGGCAGGTGCCACCAAGCACGAGTAAGGACTACACAGTCTGCACCTCTACACCCTCCCTATCAGCCCCAGTTTGCCAGCCTACCAGTTGACATGCAAAGGCTGCCTCTGCGCGCTCGCTCCTTGGGTACATTGCGACAGCCTTGTGTCTAATTTTTTTTTCTCATCCCACATCAACCTCTCCCTTCCGATCCATCTCATCAGCTGATCCTCCATCTGCTCCCGGTCGCATGTGAGCACCATACATCAGCATTGAGCCAAACCGTTTCTACAAGCATCATTAGGTGGAGCTAAGCTTCCAGCGAGACACTATCTAGCGTACCGTCCGCGGAGCCTGACATCTGAAGCAACGCGGCGCAAAACGTGTTACGTCCATTAGATCACGTTTACAACGCCATGCCTCAATATCGCATTGGTACGACTGGACTCTGCCATTCAAAGCTCTCTATTCCATGACACACGCTTACATTTGTGCAGAAATTTCACCCAACAACCGGGCGCTCTGCAAAGACACTGTCTGCAAGGAGGAAAAGGTAAAGATCCTCAAGGGTGAGATTCGCTTCGGCAGTTGGGTGGAAATTCAAGACCATGGGGGCTGGGCTTGGAAACACTGGTAAGTGCTTCTCACATCTCCGTCTCGTAGCAAATATCCAGCCGCCCATTGCAACATCACTAACAAAGCTGCCATGCTATAGGGGATGTGTCTCTGGAGCGCAGCTGCTCAATCTCCAAGAGACATGTGATACTGGCGATGGCAAATATGACTTTGATGCCATTGATGGATACGATGAATTGAGGTTAGTATTCTTAGTCCCTGGGCTATGTGTACCCTGGCGAGGCACCGCAGACTGACGTTCGACCTTTGTAGCGACCCAGAAGTTCAAGAAAAGGTCCGCCGATGCGTGAAGCAAGGCTTTATTGATCCTGAAGACTTCAAAGGTGTATGTTCCTCGAACTGCCATGAACCGGATGGGGAACTTGCTGACTGGCGCGACGAAGGATCCTGAGAAGAACAAGCTAGGCGAGAAGGGCATTCACCTGACTGCTAAGCAGAAGGCAGCCAAAGAAAAAGCCGCCGCTGAGGCTGCCGGAGATGAAGAGGTAGGCTTCCGTGTTGCCATAGAGGATGGTCTCAAATCTAATAATGAATAGGCCTCCGAAGATGCTAAACCAGCGAAAAAGACGGCCAAGCGCGGTCGCAAGAAGGACGCCGACGATGACGAAGACAATGAGCCCAAGGCCAAAAAGCCCAAGTCAGCAAAGCCCGCCAAATCATCAAAAGGTGATAAAGCTACTCCCGCAAAGGCTTCCCGCGGCAGGAAAGCAGCTGTAAAGAATGAGAGTGATGATGAGGAGGAGGAGGAGGAGGAGGAGGAGGAGGAGGAGGAGGAGGAGGAGGAGGAGGAGGAGGAGGAGGAGGAGGAGGAGGAGGAGGAGGAGGAGGAGGAGGAGCCAGTGTCTACAAAGAAATCCAAGTTTGCTTCCACCAAGACTTCACGAGGCAAGAAGGCAGCCGTCAAGGACGAGAGTGAAGAGGAGGAGGAGGCACCTGTGTCGGCTAAGAAGTCCAAGGCTGCACCGAAGACCACCAAAACTGCTGACGCCAAGGCGACAGGAAAGTCAAGTCGTAAATCAGGGGCGAGGGTGATGGCTGATGAGCCGGCTGATGAGAAGCTTGCTCCAAAGGCAAAGGGACGTCGAACCAGTCGCTCAAGCAAGGCTTAAGCCTTTGGTTGTCTGTCAAAGCGCATGATGTGGCTAAAAATTGCCCTTGGTTTACGGTGTGAGATAGGTAGAGCACGTTGTTGAGTAGCGGATGGATAGTGTTGGAGTTGGTTTCCAAGTTGCTAGCGGTTATGATGAGTTTTGCTCAGGCGATGTGGTTCATAGTCATTGCTATGTACTTGTATCAAAAGTCGACAGTCGCTTTCTTGCACATATGTAATAATTGATGCTTTTGGCCGGGTTTGCCTTGGTTCAGTGAAGGGATAAAAGTCTTGCTCTTACTGGTTTCGTGCACCTCCTTTGGGCGATGTGAGTGAGTTGCTCCACGTGAAGATTGTGTCAAGTAATTTATTGACGTCGTCCTACAGAGCCGGGCCGCTAAGCGAACCAGCAAATATGCTTTATCAGTAGAGTACGGAGTAATGTGCAGTAGTTTCTCTGGTTGTTGTCAACTGGTACCTTGACATTTTGCCGCGTAGCACGGTAGAGCCGGTAGGTAACAGGTGACGAGCAGGCAGGCAGACGGCGACAGCACCAGTTGCGACGTCATAACTTCAGCCACCGTTGATGGTTCCCCAGGTTCCCGAGCCCCCACCATCCCACCACGCAAGACTCCAGGAGCTTGCTCGGAACCTTCAATGTTCACATCAGAATCAAGCCCTGCTTCGCAACTTGACATTGCAACTTTCTCATCCCACCGACAAGGCGACAACCCCCCCCCCCAACCCAAACACCCAGCGATACCATGTCCTCCACGACAAATCCAGACCCGGAGCAAGGCGCTCCAGCCTTTATTCCCCTCGAGGCCAACCCCGAGCTCATGACCAAGCTCATCCACAAGCTGGGCGTCTCGCAAGCCCTCCAGCTCCACGACGTCTACTCCCTCACCGACCCAGATATGCTCGCATTCATCCCCCGTCCCGCACTAGCTCTCCTCCTCGTGTTCCCCATAACCGCAGTCTACGAGAGCCACCGCATGGCAGAAGACAACACTATCGACGAGTACAAGGGCGCCGGGGAGCAGGAACCCGTCATCTGGTGGAAGCAGACGATCCGCAATGCGTGCGGCATGATGGGTCTGCTGCACGCCGTCTCAAACGGTCCTGCCAGGACTTTAATCGGTGAGCGCTCTACTCTAGAAATCCCCCCGGTAGCTTGCTAACAATGTGTTTTTCAGAGCAGGGCACGACGCTGGATGAGCTCCTCCAGAAATCCACCCCGCTCCCTCCGCGGGAACGCGCATCTCTCCTCGAAAAGACACCTGCTGTCGCGGCAGCCCACAAGGAAGCCGCCTCGGCGGGAGACACGGCTGCGCCTGACGCCCAGGACAACGTGGACCTCCACTACGTCTGCTTCGTCAAGGGCAGCGACGGCGCGCTGTGGGAGCTGGACGGGCGTAGAAAGGGGCCGATTCGCCGGGGAGAGCTACAGGAGAGCGAGGACATGTTGAGCGAGAGGGCGCTGGGCATGGGCATTTTGAGGTTCTTGGAGCGCGAGGGCGGCGATTTGAGGTTTAGCGCCGTGGCCTTGGCAGGGTCTTTGGATTAAACGACGGGTGAAAATTGCAGACGGGGCTAGGTCCCTTCAACTAGAATCTTCATAAATAGTGCCGCGGCGGTCGTTGAGCCGTCGATATGCAAGGAATTTACCTGGGCCCTGGTCCCCCGCAACCAATGTAGATGAACAGTTGCTGTGAAAACCACGTCCACAACGTCATAGAAGACAGGATACAACAATCCCCACATGTTCGCAGCCAGCGCGGGCCAGCGATGATCGCCACGGCTTCCTGGTGAGGAAACTCGCCCCACGACGGTGACGCCACGGGTGTCATGGACGATGACGTCGTCGCCGGCAGCGTTGCAAGGCCCTTTGGTAGGATATATAAATGTGCAGATTGGTGATGACTGTGTCTTTGCAAAAATCCAAAGTATTGCACACCAAGCTGGAGAAGTCAAAATCCAAGAATTACCTTTTTGGGTCAACACTACAAATCTACTATATCCTCCCAACATTACGCATAATGCCTCGTCCCGGAGACGGCTCAAGCCACAACGGCCCATTCGAGGAATATGGTCACGATATCGTCCACGGCGCAGGATCTGCTGAGGTATGTTTTAAGTTTTTTTTTTTGGTGCTTCAGGCAGGATGGTTGCTAACGGTTGACAGACGTCCAAGGTGCCGAGGGCGGAGAAGACGGCCGACTTGCCGGAAGGTCTGAAGGAGCAGGGCGCCGGGATAAAGGGCATGAATGCGAGCGGTGGTCAGAGCCAGGGATTGAAGAAGAGTGGTGAGGGCGGTGAGGTTGGTCAGGGCGGACGGCACATTTGACTTGGGCAGAGTGCTTAATTTCTACATGTCATGGCAGCAAGACTCTAGTCGGCTCAAATTGAAACCAAGTTTGGCGAGACAACGCACGTATTGGGAGTCGGGATACAAATGTCTAGAAGGACACAAGTGAACTGCACGATGCACTGCATCGTCACCACGTTTGAATCAAAAGATCAGGTGCAGGTGGTGTAGGTTAGCCATATGACAGCCGTCAGCTGTCACCCAATCGGCCACGGCATTGTAAATCGTCGGGCGGCAACCGCCTTCCCCAAAGCGCTACACCAAAGGTCTGGTATTCTCAAGATGCCGAAAGGGAAATCCGTCTTTTTCACCTACTAATACCACCACGGGCGCTGGATGAATCCGCAGCAACCAACCAACACAACCAACTACCATTTCGGCAAACGCATGCCGAGTACCAAAGACCAGCAACCAGCCAGTCGACTATTGCCAACGGGCCGCACAACACCAAATCAAGCCGTAGTTACATCAAGAACAACGCTCGGCCTCAAACCTGTCTCAGAGGGCATAGTGGCGTCCAATTGAATAAATCAGCCAGTATAATTGAAAATAACGCACATCTTGCCACAGCAAGTCGGGGCTCCCGATCGTCGGTCTGGTGGTCTAGTGGTATGATTCTCGCTTAGGGACAACCCTGAAGCAAAGTTGCGAGAGGTCCCGGGTTCAATCCCCGGCCAGACCCGCATTAATTAATCCAAGTTCACTCATTTTTTGTTTCGGAAATTTTTTTTTTGTAACGCTAGCAGGGCGGCTTCGGGACATCGATGCTAGGGGTGTGATTCCCGGAATTGGGGTCAAATAATTGAGGTTAACTTTTTAACCCTAGTTAGTACATGCTCCACTAATTTAAAGTGGGAATATTACTTTATACCGTTTTACAGTGATTTTTTTAGGCTTTTTTACTTTTATATATGAGAGGGTTAAATTTTCATTGCCTTTTTAAGCTAAGAAAGGCTTTTTAATAATATTAAAGGTTATAAATAGTTAAACCACTTAAATTACGCTATATTTAACCTATTATTTAAGATTAGCTTCTTATAATACCTTCTTATAATACCTAAGAGGGTTTAAGCTTATAAATAACCTATAATAAGTAAACTAATAACTAATAATTGTGATTTTTATAACTTTTATATAAGGCTTAAATTAA